ACAGACTTTGAGAATTATACCACTAGGAACTAAATTATTGGGAATAAAAGTGCAACATCTTCTAAGATTAATACAAAAATCTCCCTTTTCTTCTAGCATTATACCAAGTACAATCTTTTTTTCTCAAGTCATTTGGCTTGTAGCACCTCACTGGCTAGACAATCCTTTAAGGGCATCCCTGCTAACTGATAAATCTTTGTTGATCATTCTACATTCTTTTTTTTTAATTTACATTCTAATTTATTGTTGGCCACCAGACTACAGGCAATTTAAATTTTGCAATAATTTGGATTTTAGTCTTAAATCTAATTGGAACTCCACTGGGGATTTCTATAGTGTAAGTGGTATTCATGTCTTAGTTCTGGAATTAGCTTTATTAAGTGGAAAAATCCAGGTGAATTAGTGTGGCTAACTGAACTAGGTCCCATACCAGTTGGGTAGTAGGCTTGAGTAAAGTGTCCCCTGTCTGCAGCATCATCACATATCAGCTTGGTAGACACTGGGTGCAGAGTAATTGCTATTTACCTGTTCGTCCTTTGAGATATCCAGGACATAGGTTCAGGCTCCATGATCCCTCAGTGGATGAGAAAATCTATCTTGCTGTCCTGAGAGAAACAAAGAGTAATTCACCCTAGGAAAAAAGCAGGAATTCAGGTGGGCCAACTACAGTAGGGACAGACTCTGGCAAGCATCATTTTTCCAGGACTTCATAGCCTGAAACACGACCAGCATGCAATTTACTCTGATAGAGTCTGGTACTATTCAAAGGGGAAGAATACTACTTGAGCATTGGGACATCCTGCTACACAAGCATAGCAATCACTCTCATTGAGCACTTGTGCCATACATTTAACCCATTTTACACAAGTATTCAATCCTCCATATCCAGTATCCAGTCTGTCTTATGTCCTTGATTATCTTCTTTCTTTCTTGTTGTTGTTTTTTTTTTTTTTTTTTTTTTTTTTTGGATTTTGAGGTTCCTATAATGTAAAACTTTTCAGGCATCAAATTTCATAGTAAGAGGTGATGAGGTTTTAGCTTCACTAATCATTAAGCTAGTAGGAAATGAATATGGAACATCTACCTGGACATTCTTCCACACTGTCTGAAAACTCTATTTCCTATATGGCAATAATCTACTGTACATACGTTAGACTTCAGAAGTAGGGTCAATGAGGGATTCCCTTAGGGAAATGCAGAACTCTAAGACTGGGTTGGTTTAACAGTTTTTAGAAAATGGACTAAATGTATTCTTTTAGAGGATTCTCTGCTTCACAATTACACAAACACATTGTACACTGCATACTTAGCAAAAGCCCAAACACAGCAAAACCATCAACACTGCTCATTAGGGAATAAGGTATCATTAGGCTCTTGGTAAAATTATTTTTAAAGGGTCTTAGATAACCCATATATTCCTCATCAATCTCATTTGAATGTTGGTGTTTCCTTGGTTGGTTCTTTGACTTGGGTGTAGTAAGTCATTCAGGATTTCTGCAACTTTGCTTTAAGGTTTTCCCCCCCATCTTCACCCCCTTTTATTGAAAATCGATTCTTTTCTCTTACAATATATCCTTCTTACAGTTTTCTCTCCCTCTACTATTGTCAGTTCCTTTCAATCTCCTCTCTTACCCAGATATACTCAGTTTCTGTCTCTCATTACAAAAGATCAGACTTCTAAGATATAACAACCAAACATGACAAAGTAAATTATAAGAGGATACAACAAAAGCCATCACATTGAAGTTGAATACAGCAACAGAACAGGAGAAGAGTCCCAAGAGCAGGCAAAAAAATCAGAGACCCACTAGTTCTTACAGTCAGAAGTCTCATAAAATACTGAGCTAATGGCTGTAATATATATACAGACAACCTGGTGTAGACCCATATAGGCCCTATGCTTGCTGCTTCAGTCTCTGTGAATTTATATATGCCTTGGTTAGTTGATGTAGAATGCCTTATTCTCCTGGTGTCCTCCATCCCCTCTGGCTCTCATACTCTTTCTGTCTTCTCTTCTCTGGGGAGCTCCCAGGGGAGAGATTTAATGGCGACATCCAATTTAGACCCTCTCTTCGAATAATGTCTGGCTGTAGGCTTCTACATCTGAATCCATCTGTGCTTTAAGCTTTCTTGATTTTGTTCTCACCTATTAGTTTTCAGTCCTAGGGCAAAATGTCATTTAATCATACAAAATACATACCTATCTATAATATTCTTTTTTCTTTATATCCATTTAAACCAAAATATAACCTCATATTTGCATCATTTACAATAATTTTCTTTCTCTCTACTTACAGTTTCTTATTTCATTTCTTAAACAAGTGTTGAATCCAAATTACATACATGGTATATTGTAGAAAATTAATATTTTATACAACCTTAAAAGATAAGTCACTTGCCAGAGTGGTGGCACATGCCTTTAATTGCAGAATTGGGAAGGCAGAGGCAGGTGGATCTTTGTGAGTCTGAGGCCAGTCTGGTCTATGTAGCAACTTCCAGGACAGCTAGGGCAACATAGAGAAAGACTCTATCTCAAATAGTAGTAGGAGCAAGAGGAATTAAGCCTTCTTTTTCCTGTTTCAAGTCTCAGGCAAATTTTCCTTCAACTTGGATTTTTAGATTTCCGTCTTTTGGTCTAATATAGTCTGAGAGTTAGAGAAAGTTTCCCTTATTGTAAGAGTCTTGGGAGACATCAGTGACCTTGAGAAGTGATGAACTCTTTGTAAATAGGAAAAGGCAAGCAGAGAAGAAATTACAGAAGAACCAGAAGTTCTTATGTTAATCCTGTAATTGCACTTTTAGACGCCAGAAGTTATTTATTAGCGTTGTTCAAGCTATAACAGAGAGGAGGGCACTCAAAACCCTTGAAGAGAAGAAGGGAAGTCAAGGGTTCTTATATTTATAAGCCCTTGATAGAAATGGGAATGGAAGTGGAGGAAAAAGAAATGACTTTTTGTTCTTTCTTTGCCAACTCTGGGAGTCTGTCCTCCTTTTTATTCTGGCTAGAACAAGGGGGATACACATCTTCTGTCATCTAAAGCATGGTTTTACACTTCTTTGTTCTTAATCTAAAGTGTTGGGAAGAGGCCAACACACAAAGGTGGGACAGGATGTGTCCCCCACTCTCCAAAGACACACGTGTTCTCTTTCCAAATATACAAATTCCTTAACTGCACTCAAATTGTGAGAAACAATAGCTGAGATACTCAGGGAGGTACAGTCTTCCTGATGTCCAGTATTGTTCCCATCCCAAATTCCCCATCCTATGGGTTCAAGATGCAAAACCTTATCTAATTTATATCCCAAGGCTTTAGATTCCATGATTGTCTTTCTTTCTGCTTAAAAGAATCATTTTTATTTTTATTTTGTGTGTATGAGAGTGTTCGTCAGCATGTACATACGTGCACTATGTGTATCTGCTACTCTCAAAGGCCAGAAGAGGGTGTTGGATACCCTGGAACTGGAGTACTACATTCGAGGGTCACTTTGTGGGTGCTGGGAACTGAACCGGAAACTTTTTCATGAGCAAAAAGCACTTTTAACTGCTCACCCAAATCTGCAGTCCTGATTCCCCCCTTTTCTGGTGTATACAGGCTGGCTCATGTAACAGACTGCCTGCAACTTTTCAACCTTAGGATGAACTGAGAGCACCTAGGAAAAAAAACAAAAAACAAAAACAAACAAACAAACAAACAAAAAACAGGCACCAACTGCCAGCTAAGACAGACTGGCCTAGTGACTCCTGCTGTCTTATGAGTCTCTGCTGAGCTGTAAATACACCCCATACTGAAAATGGATCATTATGATTTATTTATTTATACACAGCAACCATTAGCCCTTTCCAGGTAAACATTCTTCCAAACAAAACTGGTCTTTACAATGAGTGAAGTGGTTGTTTTCTGCACAGAGTTCCAGAAACTTTCTTATGAGTAACTTATGTTTGTGTCTTTATAGCCCCTACGAAAACACAAATACCCTAGAGAGGTGGCTCTTTAGCGTTCGGTAGGTAGTCATTACTTTGTGAAAAGAAGAATTAGTTAAAAGTAGCTGAACAGAAGAAAGACAGCTAGCTTGTGTTTATTTGCTGTTTTTTCCACTCAACTACAAGCCCCAAGAGTCCTCGGAACATGTGCAGTGTCTCTATTATGAAGTTTCAAAGCACACGGGAGACCGGACTGGGAGGATAAACAGGAGGAAACCAAAGAGGGAGAGAAGGGGTGAACAGTAAACAAAGGACAAATTAGATTCTTACCTAAGCTTTATCCATGTAGTTAATGTCTAAAGGCGTTTATTGGCTTCTTTCTAATTTCATGAGGGAGTGGGGAAATAGAGCAGGGGTAGATGGAGGTGAGGGTATTTCCACTCCCTTACCAAAATCTAGCATGATTCCTAGGGTTTTTATTCTCATGCACGCCAAGCAAAATAATACCGTAGAAGACGAGAAAGGAGTATTCGTTCTCCTTTTAAAGACATTAAGCATGCTACACACTACGGGTCACACACTGTTGCTGCCCTTAGTACTGAGGCATTTTGAATGAAAACGCCCCACTGTGAGCAAGCTTGAAAGAAGACTCCCAGCTGTGTATTCTCTGGTACTTTAGCCTAGTTCAGAGGTTTCACAAACTTTATTTTGGATGCTTCTAACCTAGTGTTCTTGCTGTATATTTTGACTTTTAATGCAATAGGTCTGAAGAGAAACCTGCGGGATTGCGTTTTTGCCACGCTCTCAGGTGCTGCCGGTGCTGACCTGAAGCTAAAGTCTCTGAACACACAAGGGACTGGAAGTCATCACCTCTGCTGCCAGGTGCACTGATGGCCAGCCTCAGCATTCCGGATCCGTGCCCTGCACGTCCCAGGCTTTCTGCAGGGAGGGGAGGAGCCGAGGGCGGAGCGGGAGGAGTGGCGCGGGCCCCGCGTGGGTCCTGCCTGAGGAGATCACCTCGGCCCCTTGGAGAGCCGCGGAGCTGCGGCGGCGCAGGAGGGGGAGCTTTAGGGAGGGCGCAGGCTCTGGGAGGGAGAACGCGCGACACCCATTCCCTGTGCTCTCTTGGGCCACTTGCGAGCCTCGCGGAAGCCCGTTGCCCCACTTGGCCACCCGCTCCGTGATCTCTCCTTGCGCCTACCTCCTCTTGTCACCTCCCGTCTCACCCTCCTCGCTCCATCGCCCCCACCGCATCCACAGCCATCCCAGCGCCTCTGAGAGCAGAAGGTGCTGCGCCGGGCTGCAGGGCGCGCCCTCAAAAGGTCCCCAGCTCGACATTGGGGGGCCACGGGCGACAGCATGGACACCAAGCGCTGCTTCGCCAACCGCTTCGATGACTACCAGGGCAGCCTGCTGGCGGGCCAGTGCGAGGAAGCTGTGGCGCCCTTGGTCACCTCCACCATCGAACGCATCCTTCAGGAGCTGCCCCCGCTGGGGGGCGGCGCTGAGGCCCGAGGGGCTACGGCGGCTGGCAGCAGCTGCCAGGGGGGTCTGTATAGCGGCGTGGCCGGGGTGGCCTACATGCTCTACCACGTCTCGCAAAGCCCGCTCTTCGCCGGGGCCCGAGAGCGCTACCTGCGCTCCGCCAAGCGCCTCATCGACGCCTGCTCCTGTTCCGAGGAGTGGGGCGAGCCGGACGCTGACACCCGCGCCGCCTTCCTGCTCGGGGGCGCGGGCGTGCACGCGGTGGCCACACTCGTGTACCACGCCCTGGGCCGTTCCGACTATGTGCAGCCCCTCGGCAAGTTCCGGGCTCTGTGCGCCGTCTGCGCGCCCGTCTCCTTCCTGGAGTGTGGCTCCGACGAGCTGTTCGTGGGCCGCGCCGGCTACCTGTGCGCCGCGCTGGTGCTCAAGCAGAAACTCGCCCAGGAGGTAAGACGCAGCCCCGGCCGCCGGAGGGCGCTCGCCGGCTGCCCGCGCCCCGCGGGGGTCCTGCTTTCCCGGCCTCCCCGACGCCCTCAGCACCACCCCTGATAGTGCATACCCATCTCTTCTTTGTGACTTCTTTGTCTGGAGCTGTGCTTTCTTCAGTCCCTCCTGCTTTTGTCCATCCTTTCCCCCTTTCTTTGTCTGTGCTCCGGTTTGTTGGATTACTTGGCTTTGCGCTTTGTTCTGTTTTTGCAGTGAAAGTGAACTTGGTGGCATCACTCCAGATGCCTCTAGGCCCCAAGGCATTTTAGGGGTCGACCTTGTGGTCCTTAAAAGTGGTGTTTAAAAACGGGGGGGGGGCGTGGGGAGTTATTTTCTTTCCTTTGACCGTGTTAGAAAAAGCACCCTTGTAGAAAAGGCACCCTTGGCTGTTAGAATCTAAAAACGTAATGGAACTTTTAGGACCGATGAGGGAAGTTGCATCTGGACTCCTGGGCCTGTAACCAATAGTAAGCTGCCCAGTGGTAGGTCTGATGTGCACACTATGTTATTTACTATTAAATTTACCCGGGGACTCCTAATCAATGTGTTATCTGATGGGAGTGTAGTCTTTTAAAATAACTAAGTGTAGACAGAAATATCCTCAGTTGAATCACATGCATTCTCCCCCCCCCCCGTTTTAAAATTAGTAATTAGGGTTGGCCAAAGTCGTAGCATTTATGACCAGGCAGTTTTTCCTAATAAATAGTTTGTCAGGGGCTCCTTGAAGGCGATTCAATTTCACAAATATATATGTAGGCAGTCTTCCTGAATTGCCTTTGAATATAGCACATAGATGTTAGAAGAAAATGTGCCAGTTCCTGTGGAGTTTCGGGAATATAACAAATAAAAATAAAAACCTATAAAGCCTCATAGTAACCAGAACTGAAAGAGAGGCACATTCATTCATAATCCACAGGAACAACCTATCGTTCTAGGCAGGAAGCAACACATTTAACTTGATTAGATGTGGTGAGAAAGGCATTTGAAGAAAAAAAAAAATAAAGGTGTATGGAGTGCCTTACAAGTATAATTAGCTTAGATAACCAGTAAGCAAGTAGACTTGATTTATTTTTTAGATTTCCATCAGGTGAGGTTGATTCAAATGAAGTGAAAAAATGCTAAAGGATGCATCAAGCTAGCAGGGCAGCAAAGGGCCATGTGACAAAGTTGTCTTGAAATAGTTTGCTCTGCTTCTGAGTCATTGTTATCTGCTAGCTGTTTCCCAAGGGCCCTTCCAGTTGTATAAAACCATTTAGAAGGCCACAGAGAGATTTACATATCATTTGCATTACATTTGCATTTGCTTCACAAACCCTGCAGTCTGATGGTAGGCAATTTTTGTAAAAGATATTTTCCCCCAGTTGTTTTCCTTAAGCCTGTTTCTTCTTTTGCCCATGCCTCTGAGTCTTTTCTCCATAACAGAGAGTGGAAAGTCACTCAAAAGACCAGGAGGGCTCTGCACAGAAACTGGTGGTCTAAAACTGGTGTAAAGCCTGGCCCCATAAAAAGATGTAAGACCTATCTTCTGTCCTCCTGCCAAATTAGATATGTCTTTTGGTACTAATCAAATTGAGGTTCTGTGGCCACTCCTGGGAGAAGGAACAAGTGAATAAGCTCCAAAGATTTTCAAAGAAGAGCTTTTAATTTATTCGATCAGTTACTCCTAGTGCTGGCTTCAGTTTCAGCAATCCAAGAAATTCCGGCTTTGAATGCATAGGGCAGGGACTGGCACACCTTCCCCTCCCTAACTCCTTGCCAGAAAAAAGCTTTTCTCTCAGTAGATGGTCCGTGACCCTTGATTAAATTGAATTTCTAACTTGTGTGTCATTTTTCTATAAATAATCTATCTTTGTGTCCCAGTGTATTTTTTTTCCATTCAATGTCATTTACATTCACCTTCTTCTGTCATTTCCCATAGTTATCACCCTAGTTCAGAGCCTCTCACATTATTTGACACATCTGCACCACGTAATAAGTAATGGAGTGAATGAATCATTCTGAGCTAGTTTTTTCCCCCACTAAGCCATTCATCCACCTTTTTAAAAAGCTCGCTTCCTACAGACACTTCCCATTACATCATTTTCCTGCTCAGCATCCTTCAGTGACGCCCTATTGCCTTTTTTTTTTTCCAGTGGCTTCCTATCTCGTGGTTAAAGCTGTGACACTTAAAATGGCTGATAAGGTCTCACATGATCAAACCTCTTGCGTACCTACTTTGCTTCATCGCTCAATAGCCACTCAGGCCTTCTGTTGTTTCAGGCATTCTCTTGTCTCATGGTGTTTGGACTCTCTGTTCTCCCTGCCTGGAACACTTCCTCTAGATACCTTTATAGCTAGCTCCATGACCTTGGATAGGTCTTTACCTCCTTAGTGAGGCATTTCCTGGCAGGCCTATTTAAAATTCCCCTCTTTCTGGTTGTTTACTCAATTTGTTTATTGATGTCTTCACTATAAATTCCATAGGATGGAGATAGTTTTATGCTACTGTAGCTTTAATATTAACATATATAGATACCTAACTTTTTCTTTTGTGTTGTTGCAAATATAGTTTGTGTACTACATGGCTTACATTGCCAATCTACCTTGTTTATCAATATTTCCCCTTATGCTAGTGCTTCTGGAGCCATGTTTAAAGCAAGCATTTCCTACTTCTGGGTTCTAAGTAATTATCTATTCAATGTATGAACTGAATAAATTATAGGTTTTTACAAATTCTTCATTAAACCAAAATGCCCCACTAGATCAGTACTTTTGAAAACTTATTTTGCATAGGAATCACCTGCTGGCCTTGTCAGCAAAATACAGAAAATAAAACTTTGTAAATATATAGTAAAATATGGAAAGCACTCTGATTTATCTTTGAGATAGGACCTGATACCCTGCATTTCTAACAAGTCCCTAGGTAGGACTGATATAGTTGATTCCTAGATCACAACTTAGAATAAAGGCAATATGGTGCTGTGTGGGTTTGGGTATCACACCAGCCATTTCCATTAATTCATGCTGCAACACTTCATTGTATGAAGCTGGATATATTGATTTATGGGACTGTAATATAGAATGCTCATTACAATATCATGCCCCTTTTATTATAAGGGCACACAGAGGAATTGGTCTCAGGAGGAGGAAACAAACAGTTGTGTTCTTTCTTACAACTGATAGAATCAATTTAGTCTTTGAAATACATCTTGTGACTACTTCTTTCTCACTTTCTGTTGCCTACTAGAAAGCAAAAAGCCAGAATTATGGATCATAAGCCCTAGAATACAATGCTTCATCTATTTCCATATACTTACCTCTAGGTTTTATCTAATTTGCTACACTCTGGTTATTCTTTCTCCTTTCACTTAAGTTTTTGAAGTTTCCATTTGTTTTCATATAATTGATAAATATTTAAAATGTGACATATATGTATATACACATACATATATATGTGCATATGTATATATATATTTATATATAGAGAGAGAGAAAGAGAGAAAGAGAGAGAGAGAGAGACATAGATACAGAATCAATCACTGTGTACATATTTCCAGTGAATCCAACCCTCCTGAAAATACTCAAGGAAAGGGGTTTGAAGCATGTAAGGCACATAGCCTTACAGTGGGTCATTGAAGTCCCAAGAAATCATGCCATAAACATTTGAAATCTATCTGTTCTGTCTTTTACAGATTGGTGGAGATATAGGAGGGAATGGTAGAGGGATTAAGGGACATCTAGGACATCACATAAAATAATTTTGTCACTCAGTGATTTGGACAAATAACCTCAAACTTCTGAGCCTTAACGTCTACATTTATAATTAGATTGATAAGAATTCTTAAAAGATCAAATAAGTTGAACCTTGGAGACATTTTACTCATTCATCAAGTGAGTATTATTTTTTTTTCTGTTTTGTTTTTGTCTTTCTGTTATACCAAGCACTGTACTAGATGCTGGGATTTAACTATGAGCAAAAACAACAAACTGATTTTACTGTAAGAAATTATCTGAATGAAGTAAACAGGAATAAAGGTAAAGGAGGGGCAGAGCTACTGTTTGGGAGTGGGTGTTAGAAAGGCTCCTTTGTGAAGGGATGCTGTGTCTCAAAGCTGGAGCACAAGAATTAAATGGCTGCCCTAAGAGCAGCCATTCTAACAGAGGGTCCAGCAAGGACCAAACCATCCAGCTTAGAAATCTCAAATAAATAAGAGTAGGAGATAAGGAATTTCAAGGCAAGGAAGATTCCCAGTTGGAAGTAAATTAAAATCAGATCCCTTGGGGCCAGATAAGTCAAATTTAGGATATAGAATTTGTTTTGTGTTTAAACACAGGTATATATTGATATTATTTACCTTTTGAAAAAGTTCACTGATTTTCTGAATGTTGAGTAGATTGTCAGTATTAAGAATGATATGATAAGGGGATGGGAATGTAGCTCCTAGTTTTATTTGCATGTGAGAAACCCAAGTTTGATCTCCAGCACAAATACACATACATGCATGTATGTTGCCCCCCCACAGGCACACTAGCACTTGAAGACACACACACACACACACACACACACACACACACACACTCCTGCAGGAAGTGTTTATGTGGTACTTTAAAATTTTTCTTGCACCAAGAACTCTTTGTCAGTCTGATGAACTTTCAGGTCTTCTTAATACAACATTTACAAATGTATAAATTAAAACATAGAGCTACAAAGAGAAACCCATTATGGTCAATTCAGAGACTGAAACATTAAACAATGTGATGGCACAGCACGGTGCTTTTTAATTAACACATTAAGAATTTACAGTGAATCGCGTGATCATGGTACATTCGAAACAGGAGTCAGTGATACTTAAGATATCTTCAACAACTGCAGTATGATACACATATATCCATGACTTCTGTAGGTGACAGTTAATAAGTATTACAGGGGGTTGTAATCTGCGTTTTTAAACATTTAATTATTTTGAGACAGACCTGGAAGG